CCTATACATCTTCCGCTGCACAGATTATGACTTCTCGACTAACGACCCCGACACATGGACCAGATTGCGAATATTGTGGTGATCCAAGACACACTCGTGAGACTTGTTTTAAATTGCATGGCTATCCCGATTGGTGGGCTACTCTTAAAGATCGAGGACAACGCAATACGACCAGTAATGGTACTGGTTATGGATTCCATACTTCCGCTAAGATTGATTCCAGGAGTTGGATAATTGATTCCGGTGCAACTGATCATATGACGTTTGATCCTGATGATTTTCTGAATACTACACAACCTCGACGAACCTGTATTGCAAATGCCAATGGTGTTACTTATCCTGTGACAGGGCTGGCACTGTTGCACTCTCATCCTCTCTCACACTGTCTAATACTTTACTTGTTCCATCTTTATCCACTAAATTGTTGTCCGTTAGTCAGCTTACTGAACAATTGAATTGTTGTGTACTCATTTACCCGAGTTTTTGTTTGCTTCAGGATATTCACACTAAGGAGATTCTTGGTCGTGGTACTAAGAGAGGGGGGCTATATTATGTCGATGACTTCAGTCCTGGCATGGCTAACAGTGTGACGCATCCCTTTGATAGCAAACAAAAGCAAATCTGGTTGTGGCACCGTCGATTGGGACATCCGTCTTTTAGTTATATGAAGCATCTTATACCAGATTTATTCTCAGGTTTCAAGGACTCCGACTTCACATGTGATACTTGTATTTTGGCCAAGAGTCACCGTGTGCCCTACCCGTTGAGTACGAACAAGTGTACTACTCCATTTACGTTAATTCACTCTGATGTCTGGGGACCTTCACCTATCACTGCTCCTTCTGGTGTTCGATGGTTTGTCACGTTCATAGATGATTGTACACGGATGACATGGCTTTATTTGCTGAAGAATAAAAACGAAGTGTTTTCCCGGTTTCAGTCCTTCCACAAACAGATGAAAACTCAGTTTAATGCTCAAATCCAGATTCTTCGCTCCGACAATGGTGGAGAATTTGTCAATCATGACTTTCAGACTTACTTCCAACAACATGGAATTATCCATGAGACGACTTGTCCTCAGACACCGCAACAAAATGGTGTTGCTGAACGAAAGAATCGACATCTTCTTGAAACCGCTCGAGCACTTCTAATTGGAGCTCATGTTCCTCGCCATCACTGGGATGATGCTATTGTCACTGCAGTTCACCTAATCAACCGCATGCCTTCTGGTGTATTGACCTTTAAAACTCCCTTACAGGTGCTTGCGCAACACAAACCTCTGCCCTCTGTTTTGGTACTCACACCCCGAATCTTTGGATGTGTGGCTTTCGTTCATCTCCACAAAAATCAACGTAGCAAACTTGATCCCTGTGCGCTTCGTTGTGTTTTTGTGGGTTATGCCACTCATCAGAAAGGCTACCGTTGTTATCACCCTCCTACCCGACGTACCTATGTCACTTTGGATGTGACCTTTCTGGAATCTGAGCTGTTCTTCCATGACCCATCATCCAATTCTACGCTTCAGGGGGAGATACGAAGTGAAGAGCAGAATTGGAGCAACTTGGAAAACGAAGAAATTCTCCTATGTACAGAAATGATTGATCATCCTGAGTCTAGAGCACAAGATTACTCTATGCCGAAAAGTGACCAATCGCCCATTCATAGCGATCAATTACCTGACCCACCTGATCCATACGAAGATATTTCTGATCCGAGTCTCACACCTACAGACAATACAGAACAACAAGATGAAGACCCCCCCTCTAACTCAACAGTACCAACAGACCAATCTCCTGAGAATATCCTTGAGGTAACTACTCCTACTAGACTTGTGCATTTAGAGGATAAAACTATTGGATATCAATTACCTTTCAGGCAAAATCGTGGGAAGCCACCAAACCGCTATTCACCTGATATTGGCAAAACATCCAAGTATCCAATTGCAAATCATGTATCCACTGAGAAGCTGTCTGAACCACTCAAGGCTTTTGTGCATCAGTTGTCTGCTATCCATATTCCAACCAAGGTCTCTGAAGCATTGAAAGATCCTAAGTGGGTCCAAGCTATAAAAGAGGAGATGAAAGCTCTTGAGAAAAATCAGACTTGGACATTGGAGACTATACCACGAGGAAAAAGACTATCGGATGTAGATGGGTGTTTACTATAAAACACAATGCAGATGGATCTATCGAGCGATACAAGGCAAGACTTGTGGCAAAAGGGTACACACAGACCTATGGTATAGACTATGAAGAAACCTTTGCTCCAGTTGCAAAGTTAAACACCGTCAGAGTCTTATTGTCCCTTGCAGCTAATTTGGATTGGCCACTACACCAGTTTGATGTAAAGAATGCTTTTCTACATGGCGAACTCACGGAGGAGGTGTACATGGACATTCCTCCTGGTTATAATACTACTCAGACTGGAACAGTTTGCAGGTTACGAAAAGCATTGTATGGGTTGAAACAGTCACCACGTGCATGGTTTGGACGGTTCACCATGGCAATGAAGAACAATGGTTTCAAACAGTGCAACTCCGATCATACTCTGTTCTTGAAACATCGGAAAGGGAAGGTAACAACATTAATAATTTATGTTGATGATATGATTATTACTGGGAATGATAAACAGGAAATATCACAGCTACAAGACTATCTGGCTACAGAGTTTGAAATGAAGGATCTAGGTGGACTCAAGTATTTCTTGGGAATTGAGGTGGCTCGATCGCAGCAAGGCATATTTCTCTCTCAAAGGAAATATGTCTTGGACTTGTTGACAGACACAGGAATGCTAGATTGCAAACCTGCGGACACTCCTATTGTTCAGAATCATCATCTTGGAGAATATCCGGATCAAGTTCCAACTAACAAAGAAAGATACCAAAGGTTAGTGGGAAGATTGATCTATTTGTCACATACTCGACCAGACATTGCTTATGCAGTGAGCGTTGTCAGTCAATTTATGCACTCTCCAAGTGAAGACCACATGAATGCAGTTCTTCGGATACTTAGATATTTGAAGTCTGCACCTGGAAAAGGACTTATGTTCTCAAAGCATGGTCATCTAAATATTGATGGTTATTCAGATGCAGATTGGGCAGGTAATGTAACAGATAGAAAATCCACATCGGGTACTTCACATTCGTGGGAGGTAATTTGGTGACATGGAGGAGCAAGAAACAGAATGTAGTAGCTTTATCCAGTGCAGAAGCCGAGTTCAGAGGCATGACTAAAGGGATTTGTGAACTTCTTTGGTTAAGAAAGTTGCTTACTGAACTTGGGTATAAACCTACATCTACAATGAATCTCTTTTGTGACAACAAGGCTGCTATAGCCATTGCACAGAATCCGGTTCAGCATGATCGTACTAAACATGTTGAGGTGGATCGACACTTCATCAAACAGAAGCTTGAGGCTAAAGTGTTTCAGTTTCCTTTTGTGAAATCCGAGGATCAGTTGGCGGATATTTTGACAAAGGCGATTTCCAGTAAAGCATTCCACAATTCACTGGATCAGTTGGGCATTGGCGACATCTATGCACCAACGTGAGGGGGAGTGTTGGCGTGACTTGTGGATATTGACTTACTTTCCTTACACACCAAGAATTCCTATTATAATTATAATTGATTTACTTTAATTCTTGATTTCCTATTGTAAATAGATTTAGGAATTTATTATTTGCTTGCCCATTCAGGTTTCGTTGTATTATAAATATGACCTCCTACAAGGAGAATAATACACAGAAAATTCCCACAAACAAATATTCTCTCATAGTTTTCATATTTTAGCAGATATCACATACCCAAGAAAAATTAAGCTATCTGTCAAAAATTCACACTTCTTCAAATTGGCAAAGAGTTGCTGCTCCCGTAAAACTTCAAAGATTTGTCTTAAGTGCTCCATGTGTTGAACAGCATTATGACTATAAACCAGAATATCGTCAAAGTAAACAACTACAAACTTTCCAATAAAAGGACGAAATACCTGGTTCATGAGTCTCATAAATGTGCTAGGAGCATTTGTCAATCTGAATGGCATCACCAACCATTCAAATAAGCCATCCCGAGTTTTAAAGGTTGTCTTCCATTCGTCACCGGGCCTCATTCGTATTTGGTGGTATCCACTCCTTAAGTCTATTTTCGAAAATATTTTTGCTCCCGACAAGTGATCCAACATATCATCGAGACGAGGAATTGGAAATCTGTACTTCACGGTGATCTTATTTATTGCCCGACTGTCGACGCACATACGCCAAGTCCCATCTTTTTTGGGCGCAAGCAATGCAGGTACTGCACACGGGCTCATGCTCTCTCGGATAACCCCTTTCTTCAACAATTCTGTCACTTGCCTATTTAGCTCCTCGTACTCTAATGGGCTCATCCGATAATGAGCTTTATTTGGGAGAGTTGAACCTGGAATCAAATCTATGCAATGCTGGATATCTCGCATAGGAGGTAGCCCAGCGGGTAATTCTTCAGGAATAACATCATTGAATTCCTGCAAGAGAGGTGTTAATTCTTTAGGAAAATTAAGCTCATCTGGATTTGACTCTTTCACCATCAACATGTACATATCGCCACTCTCCTCCGCTTCTTTTAGGAATTCTCCTTTGGTTAGAAAGCTTCCAGCACCAATTTTCGTGGATTTGACATTAAATTCAGATTGGGAGGGGCCTAAAATAACCTTCGCACCATCTTTGATGAAGGTATATGTATTTTTGTATCCGTCATGTGTGGCCTTGCGATCAAATTGCCAAGGTCTCCCCAATAGTATGTGGCACGCATCCATTGGAATTACATCACACCATTGAGAATCCTGATACTTTTGCCCAATGGAGAATGTCACTAGGCAGCGTTGATTCACCACGACTTCATTCCCTTTTTTGACCCAAGACAGCTTGTACGAGACTGGCTTCTTTTCAGTCTTCAAATTCAGTTTATCAACCATCTCCTGTGAAACAATGTTTTCACAACTACCACTATCAATAATAACACTACATACCTTTCCATGAGAGGTACACTTGGTATGGAATATATTATTCCGAAGCCAATCTGAGTTCTCCTCCACCTTGGCAGCATTCATTATCCTTCGAATCACCAAGGACTCTCCATGGTCACTCCATGTGATCTCTTCTTCTTCATTGTCCCCATAATTATCAAATATAGGCAGCATCTCTTTTAACATACCGCTAGATTCGCCCAATTCCTCAACCAAACTGACAATTTTTCGGTTAGGACATTTAGAAGCAATATGTCCTAGGCCCAGAACATTTGAAACACTTGATCCCTTTCGGTTTGCTGGTAGTAAACTTCTCTGGTGCATTGGTCTTAGGTGCTTCATGCTTCCCTGGCTCAGAATTTGATGAGCCTTTAGTCATCCAAGAATTTTTTTGCTCAGAACCCTCTATTCCAACACGCCGTGACCGTGTCTTTATCTGTTTCTCTACTTGTATGGCTAACTTGAAGACATCATCATAACTCCAGTATTGCTGTAAGACCACCACATCATGAAGTTCTCTACGCATCCCTCCCAGATAACGTGCAACTGTGTGTTCTTCTTCTTCGACGAGTCCACACCTCATGGTTAAGAGATCGAATTCTTCAGTATATTCCTCAATAGTCCGATTTCCCTGTCGCAGATTATGAAGTTTCAGGAAGTTTGCTTGACGGTAGTTTTCTGGCAAAAATTTTCTCTTTAGCTCTTTCTTCATTTTCTCCCAGCTTTTAATTTTGGATTTTCCGGTACGATCACGCCGAGTCTTTAGCTGCTCCCACCATGCAGAGGCATTCCTCTTCAATTTAATGGCTACGATCTTAACTTTCTTCTCGTCCGACACCTCTTTGTAGTCAAATATACGCTCAACAGTATTGAGCCAATCAACAAAGTCATCAGGTTGCATCTTTCCCTCGAACTCAGGTAAGTCTACTTTCATGTCGAAATTTCGACCATAATGATCTCGTCCCCTTTGCACACCTTCCATCGGCATGTGGTTGTAAAAGGGATTTTCGTCTCCCTCCCCGTCGGAACTCTCACCACCATGGCTTTGAGTCTCGATGCGAGCGACACGATCAGTGAGTTGTTGAATCATTCTTTTAATTTCATCCATGTCGTCTGTAGAGTTACGGCCCTCCATTCGGACACCACCCCGACCACGCCTATGATGAGCCATGAAGGCTTCTCTCCACCCACAAGAACCAAAGTGCTGATACCAAATTGGTGGGGAGATGGTATCTCAAACACGAACCTCCAACGAAACTACATCAACACTAGAAATATAGAACGAGCACTCACAATTTGCGGCTAAACTTAGCTGCGTTTTCTGAATAAATTCACTAATTCAATCTGACCAAATGGTCTATAAGAGAAAGGTTTAAATAACAACTAAATCCTAGGAATATAAGGAATTATAATTCTAGTACAATAAGGAAACCCAAAACAGAAGGAAAACATAAAAGGAAGTCAATCAGCAGTAGGAAAGGTCTCCTAATTTATTTTGGGATATAATCTTTAAGGTAATTAGGAGGTTTAACTGATCTCTTGGGCTTCCCTAGTTTGGCTTGGGATGCTCCTGCATCACAAAGGTTCTACAGCACACTTTTCCACGCGTTTTAACTTAGTTTTCCACGTGTTTTCAGTTCCCATTTCAAATAATTTTGTAACCCTAAAGTCAATTGAGATTGTTGGGAAGCTTGTGAGCAGTCTTGGAGGTTATGAATTAGTTTTTTGAAGGGGGAATTGATTTGTAATAGCTCTAGGCTTGACTTCCAATATGTTGTTGTAATTCTAGGTGCATGATTTCCTATTCCGAGTATTAATGGGTGCATAAAGATGTTGTCCTCAGCTTGGAATACAATCATGAAGTTTAAAGTACAGGAGATCCATAGGAGCATACAGTCAGAAAAGCTTCCTTCCTGACCAATTGGCTGGAATCCATTGACATGAGCAGCTGGACATCCAAAAGTAGGCCTATAAAATGGGCCGGGCCAGGCCAGTCCAACCTTTTCTTGGCCTTAAGAAGTATACAAGACAGGGCAAGCCAGCCCTATATGAATGAAATATGCTAAACCCAAGCCCTACCCACAGGCTTAACAATTTCGGGCCTATGCATCCCATGCCTTTTATCAGAACAAAGTAACATTTAGAGATTTTAATACCAATTTAGGCATTAATAAAAGAATCTAAACTAGGCTTTTGGCGAGGCCAAATTTGGCAAAAATCAATACAAAAGTAGTTTAATTATGGACTAAACATTCTAGGCCAACGCAGTTAAACTTGTTGGCCTTCAAGTCTGTGTAAAACCTTGTTTGGGTGGGTGAAGATATTTATAAAACACAAAATAGCTGAAGTGAATGCGTGCAGGCGATGTGGGACTGCCTATCATACTTTATGGTTATTTAGCTTTTGTTTTGATGCACCATGCTCTGGGTTGGTTCTTTCTAATGGACATATCTTTGATTAATTTGTGTGCATATTAGACACACACGTCCTCATGTACTAGCTTGAAGGAGTGATTCAAACTTCAAATATATTTTTCTAAGTTCAATCAAACCAATTAAATGATAGTTAACAATCATAGCCTTATAAATGAATGGTAAGGATTTATATAAATATGTGGTTTAGTAGGCAATGATTATAGGCTTAGTAGCTAGAGAGGTTGATATAAACATGTGGCTCATATCATTAAGTTGATCGGGTAGAAACATGGTAGCTAGTGAGGGAGGAACATGTTATCTATCATTAAGTTGATATCGACTTCCGAGATCTATGGATTTGATGGATGAACATCCATACCCATTGATATTAACTTCCCATATCTATTACTTGAATCAAGTATAAAGTTTTCATATCTCCCTTTCTTCCATTCCAAGGGCAAATGGAGGAGGTAGTGGGAATGAAAATTTATTTATGTGAAAATTTATTCTAGTTTTCATATCTCCATTTCATATCTTTTTATCTCTCTTTCTTCTCACTTGGAGGAGGATATTATTTTATCTCTAACAAAACATTGCTAAAGCCTCTAGTAATAGTGTTTCTCCACCTTTCAAACCATAGGTACTTGCAAGGTTACCAACAATTTCTTAAACACATGTTATTGAATGACATTATATAAAATAGGAAATTTAAGTATTGAATGACATTTTCTGATGATTTAGAAAATGATGCTTTTAAGGTTGAGGGTGAAATAACTTTTAATGCGTTAGTATGAGGCTTATGAGAAAGAGGATCCAACATTTAGCTAATCTAATGTAGAGGTTAATGCCGAGGGTAGGGGGAAGTAAGTTGTTGGGAGTGATCCAAGACTTAAAAGGTTTTTGAGAACAAGAAAGGACAAAGATATGGTTCAAATAAAGAATGAGGTTGATAAATACTTATTGGAGGCAACTCAAGATCCAAAAGCACCAGTAGGATTTGATTTGTTAGCTTTGTGGAGAGAACTCTTCAAGGTTCTCAATTTTGTCTAAGATCGTGAGGGATGTATTTGCTAACCTTGTTTCTAGTATGCCTTCAGAATTTGCATTTAGTGTTGGGAAGAGGGTTCTGGATCCTTTTCAAGCTTGTTTGACCTCGACAACAGTTGAGGCCCTTATTTGCTCTAATGATTGGCTTAAGTGTGCATTTGTAGAGATTATAACTTCTTGTTGTAATGGTTTTTTTTCTTTCCTTTTTTTAAGTTGTTCAATAACCTCTTCCTTTTTATTTCACATTATGTATGTTTTGTTGAGATTACATCACACTACCACGTAGTGCAAATTAGGGGTGGGCATCGGGACCGGAAAACCGGAACATAGAACTGAACTAGATGAAAAAAGGGGATAAAAATTGGTTGACCAAAAAAGTCAACAAATCAGACCGGAATCGGATTGAAATGGTTCCAGTTTCGGTTTCACACCACACCAAACCAGACCAGACCAGACCAAACCAGTTTTATATATATATATATATATATTTTTACAAATGTTTTAGATCTAATGCTATATTTTTAATTTTATAATTAATTTTTTTTCCAAGTTCAACTTCAAAATATTTCTCATTGTATGAATTTGATCATTTATTAATTTTCAAACCCAAAAAATAATTTATATTTAAAAAAATAAAAAAAATAAAAAAATTCGGTTGTTCAAAATCGAAATCGGTCAGAACCAGAACAAAATCGATTAGAACCGAATCGGCCAATTATTTTTTTAAAAATTCACTTGAATCGAACCGAACCGAATCGAACCAGACCGTGCTCACTCCTAGTGCAAATGATTCCTGATGTTGCTGCCAATATTTGAAGTTGACGACTTTGAGTAGTAGCCCATTTATATTTCTGTTATGTTTTTATTATTTTGGTTTGTAAGCCTAAGTGAAGGTAATAATGAGACCTCATTATTTTTGTTTGTAAGGCTTACTTGAGTTAGTATTTGCAGATTGTTGATGATCAATGAGTTAGTATTTGAGTATTGGAATTTTGAAAATGTAGGTTGTTGATGATCAATGAGTTAGTATTTATTTGAAATTGCAGATTGCAGATTTTGAAAATGCAGGTTGTAGATATATTTACTTAGGTGAGATGGCAAAATGCACCAAGCTCGAAGGTGGTGACAAATATTTTCAAAAGAGAATAGTCTCTATTATCTCACCGGCTGCCCCCAAGCATGGTAATTATAGCGATATTATCTTTCATTTTTACTATACATGACAAATATTTTTAACTCGAAGTTTTATACTTTGTCCTTTCTAGATATATTTTACAAAAAGATATTAAAACTATGGGTGTTTCTTCGTCAGTCTTTACAAGCCAACAAGCTTCTGTAGTTGAAAGATTTGGGAGACTTTGGAAAAACATAAAGGAGAGAGAAATTTTGTAAAAGAAGCTAAAATAGACAAAATTACCCTTATTTATTTCTATAAATTTAAATCTAACCTCAAAGTCGTAAATGCACGCCATGGCTGAAAAAGCAGGTCACGAGTCATCAAATAAATGCCTTTCTCTGCCTTATTATTATAACATTGACTTTACACTTCGTTTTTTTAAGCACGCATCTTCACATTTTCATATGGGATCAGAGAATGTTACTCACGTTGGACCAAACGTTCACGTATGCTCGCGTCAATCAATTTATTTCATTAGTTTCGAGCAAAATGAAATAAATTCTGTTTCTAAAAGATAAACATGCCAACCAATGTGCATAAATAGGCTTAGCCAAATTGGTTAGAACAGAATGTACTTCCCACTTTGCACTGAAATTCCTCTTTCCATAATCTAGATTATATTAAAGTAGAATATTATTTGTAGATATATATAAAAAATAAAAAAAACCAACCAATGTGAATAATAACAAAAAGAAAGAAAATAAATGCTAAATTCCATAGCTCACGTAGGCTAAAGCCTGAATCTTCGTCATTGGATGGGCCTAAGTCCTTTTATTAGGCCTGTTTGAAAGAATAACAGATGGAAAAATACTAACACAAGTCTGTTTATGAGATCCATGGAACTTGAGATATTAAGAAAATTCCATTTCACTTTCATTCTCATTTTCATTCTCCCTCCTTTTCCTCTATCCTCTAGCACAAAAAATGAAAACTAAAAATTAAAATTGAAATGGTTATCAAAGGGTCCCTAAGTTACTTGTTTTGAAAGTATGCCATGAATTAATTGATTCCTAACGGCCCTCCAAAAGTGTAATCGATATTTCGTTTGTTGAAGATTTTTGATTACCTGAAGAAGAGCCTGCTTCATGCGATTCCTTCTCTATAAAGAAACCAGGTTGTTTGGGCTGAGCCAATGCAATCTCACTTCCCAGCATGATAACTACAGATGCCATGCTTGGTCTATCCTCGGGATGATGTTGCACGCATAAGAGACTAACATGGATGCAACGTAACACGTCCGATAGAGTACATGAGCTTTCTAAACACGTATCAATCAGTTCTAAAGGCCTTCCTTGAATCCACAATCTCCATGCCTGAAACATGTCAAAACTCCTCTGTAGTTAATTGCCATTCACAGGCCTAATATGTATAAAGAAGAAATTATACTGCTGATTCTTACATGACCAATAAGGTTATGACTGTGGTTTGGATGGTAGAATCCCTTATTTTTCCTTCCACTTATGACCTCCAGCACCAAAATACCAAAGCTAAATACATCCGATTTGACAGAAAACAGCCCATCAATAGCATATTCAGGTGCCATATAACCGCTGTTGAAAGTAGAAACATCATATGCAAGTGAGAAAATAATAAACCATTGATGAGGAAGAAAACTTGATCATGCAAAATATTATAAGAAAAACTTACTATGTTCCAACTACTCTGTTTGTATTTCCACCAGACTCATCTCCTCCTATTAAAGTTCTAGCCAAGCCAAAGTCTGAAATTTTTGGATTCATTTCATTATCAAGTAAAACATTACTTGCTTTGAGATCTCGATGAATAATCCTTAGCCTGGAATCCTGATGGAGATAGAGAAGACCCCGAGCAATTCCGCAAATAATGTGGAAACGTTTTGGCCAATCTAACAGTAGCTCTCCTCTCACACTATCTGGCAAGTTTAATCCAAATCCAACTTCAGGTCAAAACTGTTTAAAAACCTACATATGAATTATTTTAAAGCAATTGATTCTGCCTAAATTCATAAGGTACCAAAGGTCCAAACCAAAAATAAAGGAGTCCAGGCTTCTGTTGGGCATGTATTCATAAATCAGCATTTTCTCCTCTCCTTGAGCGCAGCATCCAAGAAGCTTTACAAGATTTCGATGCTGAAGCTTTGCAATCAGTATAACTTCATTCTTGAACTCATTCAATCCTTGGCCAGAACTTCTTGAAAGCCTCTTCACAGCAATTTCTTGTCCATCTGGTAGTGTCCCCTGGAAATTTACAGTATTTCAAAATATTGTGAAACTCTGGATGTAGTTATTTTTTCTTAGTTTGGCCCTTAAAATACAAGTTACAAATTTACCCTGTAAACGGGTCCAAATCCACCTTCTCCGAGCTTGTTATCGCTTGAAAAGTTATCTGTGGCACTAGCTACTGTGGGCAGGTCAAAGAGCGGGAGCTCCAGATCCTCCTCTGGTTCCCCTCCATTGTTCATATTTGTTTCACCTATCTCTGTTTTCCCACATGTAGTAGAAATGGGGTTGATGTCAGTGATGGCTTACAAGAGTAAAGGAAACAAAAACTTATATATTCAAACGGACTATGTACTAATTTAACCATCTCTTTTCACGAAATTAAACTCCATACAACTTTAAATCCCTTTCTGTCAAATATTCATCAAAATACAATCAAACAACACCCACAAATTTGTTGCAAAGATGGTCAAGGTAGTTAATGTACCTTTTAATTTTCTCCTGTTTCGGTGAAGGTAATATCCAACTAACAGCACTACAGAAAACACTACTGCTACGGAAACTGCAATTATCATTGCTGTCTTCACTTTACCACCACTTTCTTCATCATGTTTGTATGATGCAGTAGAGAAGATGAATAAAAAATGCAGCAAGCAATAAAGGAAAAATCAGGTCAATGATTTAACTTGGAAGAAAAATGGATTTCTTATCAAAACAACATGGAATCAAAAATCGAGCTACATGTCACATAAAAAGTATTTAAGCAGCCAATGTTACAAAGTTCCATACCTAATTCTGAAGCCGACATTCGAATAGACAGGTCCTGCCCAGCAGCTGGAAACTGCCTGATATCTATTAGATCATCAAACCAGATGGCGCAGCCAGTACCTCCTCCTCTGATATCCGAGCTTGTATAAGCCATACAGGAACAATTGTTCAAGCATTTGGTTCTGCATTCCTTGAGATTCATACTTTTGTTCACCCAAGAATGTGTAGTATCTGGCAGTTTCAAGCCAACAAATTTGACAAACCCATCTTTATATCTTTCCTGGCAGCTTAATGGTTTATTGCGCACACATCCTAGAGACCAGTCCATCAAATTCCATTTTTCTTGAGACATAGGCTTGAATCCTTTTAGACATTGGCAGACTGGATTCTCACCAATGATACACTTTGCATTGGCTCCGCAGAGGCCATAATTATCACACAAGTCTCTTGGTACTGATGAATAGGCCCTCCAAGTTTGATCTGCTTCAATCCACGTAAAGCGATCACGAGTACTGGTGGTTTGGTTCAAAACTATTCTTGAGATTACAGACTTATTTTGAAGGTTGTACATGTAGTACACTTCAACATCATTATAGACAAATTCGAAACTATAAAGTGGATTAGGCCTTAATTCTGGTGAACCACTGAATCTCAGGCCATTCCATGGGCCAGTACGATAGTATTTTGCAGTGCCTTTCCGAACATACGCCTCAGGATAAGTATCACGTTCCATTTCAATCCCATAAGTGAAATCTCCTGGACACGGGTCTTCTGAATTTTTCCATGCTGAGAAACTCCGTTTTATACCTTTCCTCAAGTCCCATCCCATCTTCATTCCTGGTAACAACGTATCAGAAGGATAGTCAAAGCTTTGCCACAAATAGGTTCCTGCATCTCTTAGTACTAAATTCCCAGAATCTAAAAGCTCTACTGTTGCACTTGGGGCATGTTTAGCTGAGTTTATCCACCAAACAGCACTCTTATTCTGACCTAACAGCACAAGATGTCCTGTACTGTTTATCATCAAGATGCCGGAAGAATCATTAATGGGGTTGCATCTGTTTGCAACCCACACAACAGTTCTAACTGGGATGTTCTTGTACCAAATTCCCAAGTAACGATTCTCGGAAGTACCTGGACTGAAGAAACCAAGCTCAAAGCTTCCACCTTTTGAAACCAAGGTCGTTCCATCACGGATAGACTGGGAGGGACTAATGCTGTCAACTGCAAAGGAAAGTGTGAATAACAGAAGGAGCAAATTAGTACCGATCATAAACGAAAAACAAAGATGACCCATCTAGTTTTTGTTCTGGATCTCCCTTCCTACTGGTTCCATTCAAGTTAAGGACACGACAATTGACTGGTAAGTAGTACGTATTGAACACACAGGCAACTTCTGATCTTTACAAAATGCTAATGTATTTATCAAGAAAAGAACATTATATGCTGGAATTGCAGGTGGAAAAATTGCAAGACTGATAACCCAAATGACTGGTAAGCAGCCAATGCCATCCTCATTCAAACATCAAACGATGGTGGAAAAATTGCAGGTCAAAATTGAAACTTTTTTTGTTACCTTCTGTCTTGATCGATAGATCACGTAACTGTGTAGAGATATGGTACATACCAGTTGGCCAAATGAGCGCGTCAATGCTTGGTCTCGGGCCCCACCAATCAGCAATTGAAAGACCAAAAATTTGTTTCAGTGAAGAAAGAATTTCCCTCCTTTCACATTCACAGGTTGCGTCTTGCGGTTCATTCTCCAGCTAACAGTTCTGGTAATTAAGGTCACACAATAAACAGAGGAGTCTCGGGAAATAATAAGCCTGACAAAGAAATTTGAGTTTTTCGGTCCAATTTTCCTTTTGCTTTCTTCCAGACTTTGAGGTCATTTGACTTTCAAATTTGAAAAGAGAATTAAAAGAGGGTTCCAGGGACCACCTCATCGGAAACAATAAACCGGCCCTCTTCGCCTTTTGTATGTGGAAAGCTTTTTCTTGGGAAAATTGGCTCCCCAAAGGATGTAAGGAGGCTAAGTCTGGAGCAAAGGTTCTACAAAAGACTTTTTCACGCATTTCGGCTTGGTTTTTCACGTGTTTTCAGTTCCCATTCCAAATAGTTTGTAACCCCGAAGTCAATGAGATTGTTGGGAAGCTTGTGAGCTGCCTTGGAGGTTATGAATTAGTTCGGGAAGGGGGCAATTGATTTGTAATAGCTCTAGGTGTGAGAGTATTCACAATGGACTTTCTAAACCACTTCCTTAGACAAATTTTAGGGAGGAATCGTAAAAATGCAACTCCAACCACGCTCCCTATCCACCTCCTAAAATAGGAAATCCTCTAGAAGCTCCTAAATCTGAAGAGAGAGAAAGGACTCCTAGTGACTCTCTATAATTTAATGCTGTTTTATTTAATGAATATTTCAAACATTTTTTTAATGCTAACTATTTTTTATTTTATTTTTTAATAGAGATGGACCAATCAAAAAAGAGTTATAGCATTTATGACTCTTCAAATTAGGGAGTATGGTTGGAGTTGAAATTTTTTAGAGAGCTTTTAAAATAGCTTTCTTATATTCTTAACCAAATTTTAGCTAAGAAATAGAGAGCATAATTGTGGATGCTCTGACTTCCAGTATGTTGTTGTAATTCTAGGTGCATGACTTCCTATCCCAAGCATTAATGGGGGTGGCTGGAATCCAAGGCATTGAATATGAGCAGCTGGACATCCAAAAGTATTGAATATGCGCAGTTGATGTGTTGTAGTAGCCCAGACATTAATGTGGAGGGTTCCCATCGCAAGGGCATTGATGAGGTAGCAGCTGAATGGAAGCTCCCTACTTGTCTATTTAAGGAGGAAGCACAGAGATTACAAATATGGAACAGCCCAATTCTAACTGGGATATTCGTGGAAATACCTGGACTGAAGAAACCGAGCTCAAAGCTTCCATCACTTGAAACGAAGGTCGTGTTGTCCCGGATAGACCTCGAGGGGCTAATGATGTCCCCTACCTAATGGTTTCCTGCAAGTCAAATATATAATTAGAAAGAAAAGATGGTTGTGGTTGATAATTGAGAAGATTATATCCATCCTCATTCAAACGTCAAATAATAGTGGAAATTGCGAAATGGTTGGTTTTTGACAAGTCAAAAGTAGATTTTTTGTTGCTTCCTCTTCTCTATCTGCGTAGTACTGTCAATTCATACATCAATTCGCTACGCTAGTCCATCAATGGTGAGGCCCTACCTGTCAACAACTGATTACAAAATACGTTTTGGAGTAAAAGTTTCCATCTTGGACGAAAATCAACCCAAGATTTACATTGTCACTGCCTAGTCTAAAAGAAATTTGAGAGCTTTTTGGCTCAATCTTGGCCTATTTGAATTCGTTTGACATTAAAAATTTCAAAAGATAGAATTTAGTATTTCTAAAGTGTTGATGTTTATAAATCATGGAAGGAAACAACTCCCTTCCAATGTGGGATTAAATGAAAGTGTATTTTTCCTATATAAACTCTTAACACTCTTAACGAAAATTAACATTCTCTCTTCTGATTGTACGAAACAACAAATAAGTACTTGGGCTCCCCTCTTCCATTTTCCACTTTAAAACTTTCTAGCTTCTTCCTTTTTCTTCCTGTTTACGGCTCATTTTTCAGACCGAAAATAAAAAACTGCTCATTTTAGTGATCTTTCCATAACAAATAATTTATGTATGTTCAGGGTACCATCCAATCCAATACATATGAGATATGTGGAGATATTCTCCAATACACATAGGACATAAAAATAAAATATTTCCACATGTCCCATGTATATTGGATGGTACAACAACTAGTGTATTTGAAACATACAAAAATTTCTCTTTGTTCTCTTGTAAGTAGTAACTCCTACAGTTTTGCCAATGGAAATTTGATATGTGTGTAGAAGTTTTTATTTTTGTATTTTTGATGAATTATTTTGGCACATGTGTTAAACCGTGATTTATAGAAAGGAGAAGAGTATCTTGGAAGGGAGGCAAGCAGTATCCTTTTAATCAAATAAAGGACTTATGAAAATTTTCTCTATACAAAAGCTAATTATGCAATGTACCTCTAATGTATTAATTGTTGTTGTTTTGAGAAGCGAATTAAAAATAAGATATGACTAAGGGATCGTTTGGGACTGCTTATCTAGGAAGCACTTATGCTCATAAGCATTCTAGAAAAAGTGTTTTTATTATAAAGATGTTGGGTCGTTTGAGATTACTTCTTTAGGAAGTACTTCTGCTCATAAACACTTTTATTATGAAAATCTTGAATTTTCATAAAAAAAATCCAAGTGCTTCATGGAAAATCACTTGGGAGTGCTTCTTGAAGAAGGATATAGTAGGTGCTTCTCCAGAAAACGTTTCTATGATCTATAAGCACTTCTAAACTTTTATGTCAAATGCTGTCAGAAGCGCTTTTAGCATTTTCAGAAGTACTCCTAAATATGCCTGAAATCTTCATAAG